TTCCTGTATTTTATTTCTTACGCCTTACCTTTAACTTCGCCTTTAACTCTTTTTATGATCGTTTTATCGACGATCGTATTTCTTGTCACATGTGTTTCTTGTCTCTTCCGAAATTCGTCGACTTTTATCTCGGGCGCCAGAAAACGCAGAAGGATAAAAAAGAAAAAGACACACAAAAAAATAAATAAAAAGTAAGAAAGGAAGTAAAGCAACATATTGTAGATTAGATTTAAGAGTGCATGTGTTAGCGAGAAGTATCTGTAGAGGATTTACGTTCGGAATAAGGAAAATAGCAAAACTACAAACGGAATAGGGTGAGATTAATTAACAAGTGTGCCTTCTAACAAGCGACATAGTACAATACAGTGATCATCTCATCTTTGTTTAACATTGTCAAACAACAAGGATGTAATGATTCATTGTGTTACACTGTATTATCTGTGTTGTTTGTTGGAAGGTGCCCTAGGACAATAGTTTTATTCAACCTACGAGCGCAATGAGATACGAGAGAGGAGAATCTTGGAAGTGAAGTTTCTTTTAACGCGCTGGAATTGGAACACGGAAAAGAGTTAATACAATTGATATTAATTGCTTGAATGATATTCTTCTTGTCGTCATTTTTCTTATGAATTACCACAATCTTTCTAGCCCCCATGGAGATTCGATAACCACAAGTGACGCACGAACACATTCGAAGGGCATCGCAAACGTAGCTGCGACGTCAATGAAAGAAGATGAGAAATAAATGCACAAAAGCTGTCAAATTATATAAACTGTTACAATTGTAACAATACAATTGTTACAATTGTAACATCAAGTGGTTTGGTTTGTCTTAATACAGATACACAATAATCGAGATAAAATCATTTCAGAATGTTCTTGTGAAGTGTCCGAAAAATTTAGGATTTTTCTCGTGTTAATGTAAGCGCAGAGTGAAAAATCTTGCAGAAAAATATATTTATAAATAATATTTAAATAATCATTTTAAAGGAAGTTTCATAATTATCAAAGATATGAGTTTTCACTATACGTTTTCTTTCCTTTTTTCTCCTCTCGATTTTTTTGTAAATAAAAATCAATGCATATTTTGTGACATTTTATGATTATTTTATAGTTTTATAATTGAAATTATAAATCTTTAATCTTTCTTAAACTTTTAGACTTCAAAACACTGCTACTAAAACTTTAATTGAAAAGCAATTGATTTAATTGATAAATATAACTTTTAGACATATTTATTTTATTGTTATATAATATTGTTCTTGTAATGGTTTAGCCAAATATTATAAATGTATGAGAACCAATTTTTGTCAATCGCAACGCATAAAAAAGATTCGATCAAAAGCTGCTCACGCAGCGAATCGTCGGAAACATTTAATCGCCCAAACGATTTATTGCGCAACACGCCCAATGCTAATCCAACAACACATGTGCACCCATACGAAAACTATCATGTATCTGTTTATATAAACAAATCATTGGATAAAGGCGTACAAAATATTCCATTTATCAAATCAATAATTGACATATTAAACTTAATGATTCTTTAATCTTCGTATTAATAATTTTTTAATCTTCAGTATTAAATATTTTCATTTTATTTGTGTAAATATTTTTAATTAAAATAATTTTGTGTTGAAATAAGTTAATATTTATTAAGAAGATCCTAAGTAACAAAATTATTAAAATACGAGAAAGAAAGTGTTCTGCATTGACTGTACAAATTATAAAATCCTTTTACACAATTAAAATAAGCAAACAAAAAATAAGTTCGCACATATATAACTGGTGCTCAGCTCAAATCGGCATTTCACACATTCTTTACTTTAAATTAACTGTATACATTGCAAAATCTTTTTACACTATTAAAATACGTACAAAAAGGAAACGATCGCTTTAACAAAAAGGTTAAAAAATTATGTTAAATTAATTTAGCATGCTACAACTTTTTTTTAACTTTTTGAGGATTTTCTCGTTAAATCGACTGTCTCGTATCCTTTTCGTACGTATTTTAATAGTGTAAAAAGATTTTGCAATGTATACAGTTAATTTAAAGTAAAGAATGTGTGAAATGCCGATTTGAGCCGAGCACCAGTTATATATGTGCGAACTTATTTTATTGGAGGTTTACATAAATGTCTTCAATACAAACGTTTTGAGATCCTCAGTTTTGTATTCTTTTCAGTATAATATTTAATAATATTGAATAATATTATTTCAATGTAACGCGACATTTTATTACGAATTTATACTGAAGAGAATACAAAACTGAGGATCAAAACGTTTATATTGAAGACATTTATGTAAACCTCCAATAAAATAAGTTCGCACATATATAACTGATGCTCGGCTCAAATCGGTATTTCACACATTCTTTGATTTATTCTTGAGAGTCTAAGCTTAACTTTCTTTTATTTAAAGTACTTTCTAACTTGTAATGTTCGATAATTCACTTTGGGATCTCCTTAAACTATAAGACATAAATTATAAGAAAGTTTCATAACTTTTATTTATCTCTGCAGTTTCAGTTTGTTATTTTATTTGTTTTTTATTTTTATTAACTGTTTATAACTTGAAGAATATTCTTAATACTTCAGCAAGGAAAAAATCGATTCTTCCCAAACTCGCCAGATTCTGTTACTAATGGTCTATCATGAAGAAAAAGGAGGCAATTTTACGTGATCATTTAGAGAATTTGTGACATTTGTTCCAATAAAAAATAGATCCTTTTCTTGTACAAGACAAGTGCCAATCGAGCATAACGAACCGACATTTTTATTGAGAAGAAATGATGGCAATCTCTATTAACGTTCGATACGATTGGAGAAATTGTACATTCAAGTTATAGCTATTTGCCGGAATTTAAATAACCCGCGTTAACTTTACATGTAAAAAAAATGCTATCGATTAAAATTAGATTTAAATTTTGTTATTTTTCGGATATATCTTTAACATTTTGTGAACAATTGTTTATAGCAAATGTTTTTTAATAACCTTACATAATTCTATGTTATATAATCTTATTCCTTGAACTTTGACCTTTGAAATAAAAAAAAAATTGTTCAATTACATTAATTTCGAGCAAAGGTACATAAATTTAAATTATATTGAATCCGCTCAGGCGGAAATAAAAAACGGAGTGTAAGTTAATGTAAGAATAGAGTAACAGGAACGTAAAGAAAGCTTCTGGCGAAAATTAAAACAACGAAGTGTGAAAGAGACGTTTACGTTTCTTTTATGTTTTGTCTCAATTTTCGTCTTTTAGGAGCTTCATTTACGTTTCTGTTACTCTCCTTTTACATTCAACTTACATTCCGATTAACATTTTTAAAATAAGACAACCGGTGTTTAAAGGCTAAAGCTTCACAAAAAAATTACATTATTCAATATCACTCAACTTATAAATTTTACTTCGGATTTAATATTACAAGAAAATGGTACATCATTTAGAATAATGCGAAAGTGGAATGTTTATATCGGATAAATAAAATGCATCTTCTCAAAAAGAGCCTGTTCAATAAATACATATAAAATTAACATTATAGAAGTACAACATAGAAAAAAATTTATAATTTTATAATAAAAAATAAGTATAATATGCAATAAAAGAAAATTTCACAAGTTGCCTGTTACAAAAAAAATATTTTTCCACGATATTACTTCGGTTAAAACCACTTGTATTATTTGCATTAGCGATACAGAGCTACAGCGTATTTAATTGGTTGTTTAACGAGTGAGCATTTGTCGAAATGTCATATCGCTGTAAAAGAGCCTCTCTGTTTACGTAACGTTAAACCAATGTGTGCGACAGTTCGAAATCTGTTTTATGTCTCGAATTTGCGTATCGTGCTTCTCTCTCCGGATTTTATTCGAATAATACAAATGATTTTCGATAGCGCAAATAGAATGGAAAATCACAATTCTACATTGCGTTTTTCGACAAGCCCTCTCGTATCTTGCAAAATGTTTACACAGCCAACCGATATCCGTTATATCGTGAATTGTCGTTGACAGATTCCGCACGCGATATTTCCTATCAGAAACTGAAATGACAAGAGGCATTATTTTATTCAGTACATAAAAAAATCAAATAACAGTGAAAATGAAATAAAGATGTCAAATTCAACACTAAGAGACACCTATTAATTTAAACTTTAAACGACAAAAATAACAATTAAAAGAGGGCCGTTCGGCGCAGCAAACGCGGCAACAATTAAAAAAAAAATTAATCACGAGCGCAACCACATTCGACTACGCAAATAAATTTTTAAATAAATCTATATTTAAAAAATCTATCTCCTATAAATTGATAAAAATTTTTTTTAGAAAGAAATATATTGTGTAATATAGAGCATTTGGAGCGTAGTATCGCAAGGAATATTCGCGCACCGTATTACGATGAATTAAAACGTTTTTATCATCCCTCTTTACGTTATATTATTGATCATAACGGGTCAATCAAATGTGTATTAAACCACTTATGACAGAAATAAAACGTAATACGATCGAGTTCATAATAGATTTGACCTTTACGAATTTTCATATATCTAAGCTCATTCTACAATTGCGTAGTTATAAGTAATTATAAAAATTGACCATTTACAGTTGAATATGAGAAGAATACAAGCACAATAATCATTTACATACGCTTACACAATTGTAGAATGGACTTTACAGGACAATCAAAGATTCACAACTAGGGAAAAGATCACTAGTTAACAATATAAACGTGCTGTATTTAATCGCAAAGTTATATTTTTATAAAGTTGTATATATTTCAGTATCAAGATTTATAAATGTGTTGCATAAAAGGCATATGCTTCGCACAAATGCGTATTGGTATTTATGCACCTTCGTATTTAGCGTATCTGATAACCGTTGCCATAATTATTAATTGCAGAACAAATTTGATACACGCAATGTAATTTCAGCGTCTTGAATACAATTTTTTAGCGCAAGAAAATTTTGATGTTCTTATTGGTAAAAGTTTCTTTTTCTTTACAGTAATTAACATACAAAAACCACAATTAATTATCTTCAGGCTATCAGTGATTTTCAGCAGTTGACGCATAGATTAAAAAAGTTGTCTCTATGTATAATAACTGTTAAAAATCGATATGTATTAAGTCTTTCTTCCTTTTCATCTATCTTGTATACTTTTGCTGGTATGTTTAACGGGTCTTGTTAAACGGCCAGTTTTCTGAAAACCATTTATCGAATTTTTTAGTATTTTTAGTTAGCCATTTGATATTCTTCGAGACTGTCTCGAGAGTTTTGGCTCGACCGTCCGCACCAGCACCGGCTTCAGGATATTTCTCAAAGAAAGCTTTTATCTCGTCCAACTTCGTTTGTGTGGCGAATGAACTTGTAATGGATGGTATAAGATCACCGAGATATCGATCATTCAATGTGTATCTGTTCACCAAGAATTCCCAGTTCTCGCGTACCCAATCCCACACCAATGATGTACCATCGGGATTTTTGGAAATCATAATCAAGCATTTCAAGAAATCTTGAGCGCGGACAAATCTTTCATCAGTTGCTCTGATAATATATCTAAAAAAGAAGTTAAATTATATTATCTAACTACTTTTAGTTAAAAGTATATTTTAAAAATTGACGAGAGTAGATTTAGTACTAACTCCTTTAAAACATCAATGGATTGTATCCCTGCTAATCCTGCCATTATTTTATTCTTCTCGCCAGGATCAGTCTCGTCTTTAAATCTTTCGAACATGACGTTCCACTCGCTCACATCCGAATGATAGCGCATACCTAATAAAAAATTTTGCGTTCCATTAAAATTTCTTGACACTCAAATAATATATAAGGAATGGACTACATTAGATAAACCAACCATAGTAATAAACTAATTCACGAATATCAGGATGCTGCGACTTCTCTTCTATCAGCCATTCCTTAAAAAGCTCTCCGGCTCTTTTCAAGCATTCAGATGAACCCATTGCACAGGCCAATTCAATTACCGTCGGTCGCACTTTATTATCAATGCGTGGTACATCTTCTTCAATTGCATCATCGACGGTCCAAGTTACATCGTTATAGATGGTGTCTACCAATATCGAGACGAAAGACTAAAATGAATTATGTAAAAATAACATTTGCAATGGCGTCAGACAATAATTTGTAATACTTCAATTGACATTACCTGAAACGTGTTTGCAATAAATGCTTCAGTCGAGGAAGTTAACAGAGTATATATCGTCATCAGTTTCGACTTTGCAACCGCCCATGGAAGACAATGATATTCCTCGGTGAGATACATACTTATATTCAACACAGTGTCATATTCGATCTCACCGGCCTCAGCTAAACTAAACAGATCATCCAAAAGATTCGCTCGATCCAACATTGATATTCTCTGCAATAAAAAATAGAAAAAAATATAATAAATGAACCTTCGAAGAAATTAAGAATATCTGTTTTAATCTGTAAATAAATTATAACTTTTATTTATTATAATTCCTGTGTTAAATAAAAAAAAATTACGTGATGCTTTACCGTATGGTGAGACCGAAGTAACTCATTGAATGTTTCCCATTCCTCGTTATAATTAACTCGATAGAAGCCAACTTGACCAGCATTTAATTTAAACCACTTCGTACGTTCGTCGACTTTGATCACCACTGTAAAATATAGAATTTTACATTAAGAGAAAATAATAGTAATAATTCGTGCAGAAAGATTGTAAATTATCTAATTAAAATTCAAACCTTTATTTGCATCCTTGTCAAACCATACAAGAGTAGGTACTTCATTTCTGTTAGTGATATAAACAATAGGTATGGTCCATCGATATCTGTAAGATGTAACGTAATTTTGAAATAAAAGTTTGTCGATTAACATCTCGAGATAAAGCAACTCACCCATAACTTGATTTTGAAGGATCGGATTTGGCATCTTGATCGTCCAAAAATCGTTTTTGGGTTAATGTATAATTGTTTCCAGACTTTTTTACGTTAACAACAGGAAAGCCTTCTTGTCGTGTCCAAGTATCCATTATAGCTGTTACATTTAATTTATTTCCAACCGCATCTTGCAAAACCTCGAAGAGATCCGCTGTCTCTGCATTCTCATAGGCGTATTTATTCAAATAGGTACTAATTGCACTGAAGAAGATATCAGATCCAAAGAAGTTCTCCATCATGCGGATTATAGATGCTCCCTAAAATAGACAGAGCGAATAAATAAATACAAGATAATACAAAATTAATAAAAAGTGCAAAAATCATTATCAAACGATATATTATACTCACGTACTTTTTTATAAGATATTCCATCAAAAAATGATGTAATATCGTCTGCATTTTGGACATTATAAACTATAGGATGAGAGCTCAACTTTGAGTCGGGAACGAAAACTTTCTGCATTACTTCAACAGGAAATTCCTCCATCTGAAAACAATATTAAATATTATACTCGTAGATATATGTAATATCAAATCATTTAAAAAATTTATATCAATGTTTAATTAAATTATTATTTAAAAACTAACATATCCTTGATGTGGTAGAATCGCATCTGAACATTTAGATGCCATAAATGTAGCAAAACCTTCGTTGAGCCATAAATCGTTCCACCACTTCATGGTGACTGCAAAAAAGTATGTCTTAGGTTTTCATTAATCAACAGTTAATTAGTATAAAATATTTACCGAGATTTCCAAACCACATGTGTGCCAGTTCGTGACAGATTACGTTAATAACATCGCGCTTATCATAAATGGAATTACTATTGTCATCGTAAAGCATTCTTGTTTCTCTGTAAGTCACTAAACCCCAATTTTCCATGGCACCGGATATAAAATCGGGAATGCCAGCCATATCTGTATAAATAAGTAAATAAATATAATAATGTAAATAAATATATATATATATATATATGTACACTTAAGAATAAATCCATTGAAACCGTAAACATATATATAACAAATTTAACTTTATTTCAATCAATTATTCTTTTTTCGTAAATTATTCTTGCATATTTACCGAGTTTTGGTAATGGATAATCTATTTTGAATAAGTTTATGTAATATTCGACAGCTTTCACGCCAATATCTAAAGCAAAATCTCTTTTCTCCTTCGATTGCAGTCTTGTAGTATAGACAGTGATCGGAAATTTTCGACCATTTAAGCCATTCGCCATTCTACTTGTACCAACAAAGTCACTGATAATAAAACAAGCTAGGTACGTGGACATGGGCACAGTTTTTGTGAAAGTCACTGTTGCTAAATCACGTTCCGGTGTATGTAGTTGCGTACTCTAAAGCAAAAATAACTCCTCAATACGTTGTTTAATAATTTCATTTTTTCGAAAAAGATGACAATTATTAATCCGTCAAAAATTATTCGCGTACCTTTACATCCATATTGGATAAGGCACTATAGCAATCATTCATAGGATGAATCAGTTTTATCGAAAATTCTGCCTTAAAATTGGGTTCATCGAAACACGGGAAAGCTTGTCTAGCATAAGTTGGTTCGAATTTGGTAGTTGCAATGTACCTATTCATTAAAAAAAATGTACGCAATATATTATAATCTATTTTACTATATTAATGAATAGAAAATTAATTAAATTTATTACAAAGTTGAGCATTTTTTATTTAGTAAAATAAAAAATTTATATTACCTGGTTTCATTAATTTTATCACTCTTATACTGATATTTGCTGTTATAAAATCCAACTATTTTATCTTTGAGACTTCCATCAAATTCCAGGCTCAAGTTATATAATCCGGATTTAATATCGTTTTTAGTTGTTATCATAAAAATTTCATATTTAGTAGGCTTGCTGATGGAAGAAATATTAATTTCATAGTCTTCATCTAGTCCATACGTTATTAATTTTACAGATGTGATGTTGAGATCCTTTTGATGAAGAGCTATGGATGTCCTATTGTTGTCCTGCTTGACATCAATGAGAATGGTCACCTTTCCGGAAAAAGTGCCTTCTTTAAGTTTTGGATGCAAGTAAAGGTCATAATGAATAGGTACGACTTCTTTTGGCAATCTGAAGCTTTCATCAGGATCAAACATTATTGTATATGCCTCTGGTCTATTCGAATCTACAAACAGAATTAATATATGTTATTAATATATAGAATTAATATATATTAATAATAGTTATCTTTAGTTATCTATAAATAATCATTATTTATCACGTTGCACGCAGATAAATCTTAAAATCTTTATCTGACAGATATCATGTTCGATTGCTCTTACATGTCGGTGTAACCAATAAGGGAACAAAATGCCGGCTGTTATTCCGCAATGTAGGTTGAAAATAAAATTTAGCTACTGTTTGATTCAGTCTAGAAGTTTAAGGAGAGCTATAACTAAGTCGGAGCAACAATCCGAATAAAATATTTTTGTAAAGTAATGTATTATTTTGGGTAGTCAGTAGTAAGTATAATAAAGTAATATTTGCGTTATACTGCAAACATGAAATATTTGCTAAATTTAAATTATTGGTATTACACATTACCGCTGTAAAACACAAAGCATTTTTTGGGTACGAGTTTCTTCCCGATCAGCTGATCATGAAATCGGAGTGGACATTCACTTTTTGTCGGTTTAAATAGATTTACGTTCTGTTAATATGGCTATAATATAGTCATCACATCTTCTAAAATCTTATCTTTTATCTATTTATATACGTATTAAGTACTTTAACATGACGATTCTAATTATTTTAAACACTTGACGGAATATTAGGCTGCAATTATGAATAGAAGATTCAATCGAAACTTGATTATCACCTCACATTTTCAATAAATGCTAAAGAGGACAAAAACCCGGGTTGAATATGTAACATATTTATATATATTTATACTTTTGTAATTGTATTAGTAAACGTAAACAATATATGATTCGTTTAACTGCTTTGGCTCATATAAGTTTCCTTCCTACCTTTTTACTTCAAATAGTTCATGGACGTATGGATGTCTACATGTCTAATCGATAACTGAACTTTGAATGCTTTTCAAATACAACTTTTGATATCTCGAAGATTATTTGTCAAAATAATAAGTCTGATAATGTTCTTTTTAACAAAAGAACTTTACAGAGTAACAGTTTGTATCTATAGTAATTTCTAGTAATATCTATATTCGTAATCTATTAACTTAAATTGTATTTCTTTTTAAAAAAAAAATATATATATAAACATTTTTTAATAAATTTTTCTATCTGTTAATATTCTTTATTATTATTCTTATAAACATAAGTTTTATATTTTCTTGAAACTATATTGTAATACAGGCAAATCATTTGCGGATAAAATTTATTATAATTATTTTTTGAAGAAGTATAAAAAAATCTATCTTCAGTAATAGAGTGACTTGTATATTTTCCAAAAAAAGATTTCAATAAATTTTAAAATATAGGAAGATATTATTTTACTGTTCTACACGTAGGAGAACATCATCTACAAAGGCACTTTTAAATCTACCGCCAAGTAATCACGAGACTCGTGTGAGACAGAACCTTATGTCACTTTGCCGGCTGCGTTGACAAAGTGATAACTGGTTAATTAAACTTTCGTTAAACGCACTATAAATGTACTTGTATTTCGCGAGCAGTTTTGTTTTTTTCTTATGGAACAATTTCTTTTTTCAGAAACCTGTAGATCTGAGATGTAATTAATAAGCACGACACATTAACATGACAATTTTTTATCGTAGAAACTACTCCACTTTGGCACTGATAACAGTTGAATTTTTCGTGTCCTCACCGTGTCGGCTGTAGCTCGTTGCCTCGACAGTCTGGTCTAGCAAAACGACTAATATTGCCAGACAGGTACAAATTAAACTCAAGATAAAGCAAGCACCGCAGGTAAAACAGAGGAGAGCGGAAACGGTGTTGTTACTACAAAGTGGCTTCGATATCGTTGCTGGTGTTGCATCGAGACGAAGCGCGCCGCCTTTCGGTCGGCTTTCGACTTTGTTGTTACCCATTATTGGGGTACAACAAAGGAAAACCGAGTAATTTAATTCAATATCCTTTAAAAGTATTTTTACGTAAGATGTAAAGAAGATGATCAAAAACACCTGTAAAGAAAAAAAATCGATGATTGTAAAATTAATAAGTCGAATGACTATTCGACATATAAAAAATAAACGTAAAGTTTTATATTTTTTTAAATGGAGGAAAAACAAATTGAAAATACATGTAAATAATTTCTTATTTAAATTACAGTTTTCGAAATTAAACATTTGAAATTGAGCGATTAGAGGAAAGTGGGGGGAATTATATGCTATGTAATTATGAATTATATATAAATATTCTTCTATCGATTATTCGCGGTTTTCATATTGAACAATTCTTCATTTGATAATGTTGTATTTAACAAAATGTAAAAAAAGTAAAAGCGAAAAAATTTCATGTAATTGTGCATATAGATAGATAGAGAGATATATTTATTAACGACTCAGGCTAATTCAAAAAGCACATTGTAGAATTCCTCAGGGTTGTGCTCTTTTATAACATACAATTGCATTACATAAAAATCTTAACCTACTCTTAACCTAAGTCTTACATACTACTGATTCTTAGGTAATTATGCGTATAGGTTCGGTAATTGTGAGCAAAAAAAGTGGTAGGAAATAAATAAAATAAATGTTCTATAGAATATATTGATAAAATGAAAAAATAACAAAATATATTTTTTAAATCAATGTATATATAGAAATATATGTATTAAGCCAATATATTAGTTAATACAAAATTTATAAAAATAATAAAATTGAAGAATAAACTGTAACCGACTCTTAGTTCAATTTATATTTGCAAGGCATTTGAAATAACACAAATAAAAAACGAAAAAAAAATACTAGTCATACAGCATCTTCAAGACGAGTAATTGTGTGTATTTCAAAATGCATTTGCCAAACAGACTCGATAAGAAACACGATTACGCAAAAACTTTTTAATTTAGCTCAATGAATAATAGCTCAAAAGACGCACGTAATAACATACTTTAGTATAATATGCACGATTAAATAAACAAATTAAGAATACAGACTTACCGTCTTATTTTCTAGATGTCAAAATTATTCTTAAAATATACAATTTTACTTTTTCTCTTTTTGGCTGTTACCTACACTTTTAAATTATATTAGTTATGGTTGTATCCTAAATACCTCTAGCCTAAAAGTTTCCCCGAGGTAGTATCTGCTCCATCTATCGAGAAAGTGTCAAACCAGAATGTGCACAATTAACCACTGCGCATAATTACCCCACTTCCCTATTTATAATGAGTTGGGCCCATCCTGTAATTATAAAAATAACAATAAAACTATAAACTGATTAGATATTTTTCCGACATACATGATTGGTAAACATGTATAACACTATTCAATAATCAAATTTGCTCCGAAATGTCATAGTAGTCATACATATTCCGAAGATTTTTTTGTAATGATGCTGTCATCAGAATTTGTATATCAAGATTTTTAATATTGGAGTGAAGACCAAAAATCATTCCAATTATTATATTTCAATTTACTAAAAAATTAAAATTTCTGACAATATAGCATCCTATTTAGCACAAATAAATCTTCCTAATACGTATAATAAATGTCATAACATTTCAAAAAGAAAAAAAGTCTTTTTTGTTAAACTGTGAAATTTATACAGAAATTCAAAATTCAAATAATTTAACTTGATGAAAATAAGTCGTATACTCATAAACTAAAATTTATTTGAAAGTTCTTGAACTGTATTTCACATGCTGTAGATTTTATTTAAAAACAAGATTTTGTTATGCCATTATAAAAATATTGAAAAAATAGTCAAAAATATTTTATCTCAATTTACTTAAATCCTGATGTACAAAAATTTTGCTAACATCGCGAAAAAATCTTCGGAGAATGTACTATGGCATTTCAAAAAGAAAAAAAGTGACTTTTTGTCGAACAGTGTAATTGATCAAAATGGGTCTTTGTGCTCCAATTTTATATGACGCAGACAGTATCTATATAAGCTTAATGTGGGCAATAAATGACGATATAAACTCTCTTGATGACTTGTTAGAAATAAATTATCGCAGTTAGAAGATGCACGCGCCACAGTCCACTGCACTCGATATGTGAGATAAATTAATGCGTGGTGCACTATCTATAGAATGCACACGTGTTCTGTCGCGCATGCATCTTCGATTATGGAGAAGAATATAAGATTCGTTGCGTCATTTATTCATAATACTGTTACGAATTAATTATTAGAAAATTTGAATTACTTTCTTAAAAGCAAATACTAAGTGTACAATTTTATTATAAAATATATATAATTATTATTAAACAATATTCTCTTACTATGTTTCAAATCTGTATATTTATAAGTGAAATTTTTATTCGACCAAAGGGATTAGATGGTATCGCACTTTTCTAGTTCAAGCCAAATCGTATTCGAATAAGTTATAGTAATATTGTTTAAAGGTATTATTTTATGCAGCTCACAGTATAAATAAAACTATGAAATATAAAACTTACCTTGCTCGTTCGTGCTTTCTAGGACACGTGACTTTTGTCCTCGAATTAATTCATTGGCACGTTACCCGCATATCGAGTAACGAACTGATTACTATACAAAATACAAATAAGAATATGCGACTTCTCGTAGAGTTTTTATAGCAAGTGTTCTTATCTCTGTGCGTCTGGAAAATTTCCATGCTACATTAAATTTTCCAATTTATCCGATTGACAACAATCCCATATTGCTTTTAGCATATCTAGCAACTCTCTCTTTTTTTGTTCCACGATTTCACTTTCAACGAAGTCAAGGTAATCACAATATGATTTGTTGATATTGTAGAAATTTTAACAAAATTCTGAAAAGTAATGTTTCAATTGTAGTTATTTAAAAAGTAACGAGTTACTTTTCAATTATTTTTCTATTAATTTTTAGTAATTTTTTGCATTGCTATTTTAAATACAAGAATCTTATGCGTTTCTAAAATTACTAAATTATTTTACTTATACTAAACATAGTATAAGCATGCTGTAATGATAAATTTGGTTATATATGTTAATATTTATAATAAAATAATATTTATTTAAAAAATCAAAATTATAAAATGTGTTCACATATTATGAGGCACTTAATAGTTTGATTTTTAATACATTTATAGAGTGTGATGATAATTGAGAATACACATATTTTTTTAATGTTAAAATGATTTTAAAATTTCTTATTTGTTCATTTCGAAAATTGTTGTCAAAAATATTCAAAAATATTTATTTAAAAAATATTAAAAATAATTATAAAATTTCTTATCCATTCATTTCAAAAATTGGTATCACAATTTTCACTGTAATAATTAAAGCAGTTCTTTTATATACAAATAAAAAAACCACAAAGAAACAAATTACGAGAAAAAATACAATTTTATCGATTAATAATGTTTTCCAGAAAATTATTCACTCGTTCATTACAATAATGCGATGCGATTTATTACAAATACCTTTGGGAGTTCTTCCAACTTTAACGATTTCATTTCCACATATTCTTATTTAAAAAGAAAAGCACAGGAAAATATTTAGTATTCTATTCTTTCATTATTAATTATTATTTATTATTTGAAAATTAGTAATGTAATTGTTTCATTGCACAAATTCACACATACTTTGCATATATTTGTTTCCCATAAGCTCTTTCGTTACACAGTAAATTAAAATACAAGAAACACTACGCGAAGTATCTGAAATACGATAAGAAGTACTTAAACACAACGCGGAGGAAACTCATAAATTAAACGTCTTGTGGAACTGTATCTTAGTTAAAGATCTATCATTCAATTTCACTTCTCGATCTCCTTCTCGCTCGATCATCCGAGAGAAACTGCGCGTTTAAGTGCCGTTGGTGACGGTATACAAGAGCCGATTCTCTAACGAAAATCGTTCTTAATTGGATATTACACAATGTCGGTGACAGCCGACTTGCATTCAAATTCGCTAACAAAATTGACTTGAATTAACCGTCGTGTACACACGCGTTCATTAACATTCGTCGAAATTGATATAATTAACGACTCCCACCCCTCTGTCACGAGGTGAAGCTAATAAGTAGAGCGTATTCATATCGTATTTTCAAAAGTACAATTAGGAACGCTTGATTCATTCATACTGTTGCATTATAAGATTAATTTATATGTGTGAACAATTTCATGTACAATTAAAATATATTTTTTTAATTTTTTCATTGCAGTCCTATAATATTCCTTAATATCATAAAATATGTTTATATAAATTTGTAGAACCATGTGAAGCAACAACGTATGTAAAGCAACAATGTATAATACTCTTGAAGTTGGACATTATTCTTAAATTCTTACAATCTACATTAAAAATATAATTTAATTTATGCATCAAGTTCTGCAGTTGGTTCTTATACACCTGTATTATCTTCATTTATTTTAAATTTGTAATATCATACTTATTATTATCGAAGTTCAGTTTATTTTAAGTTTAGTAAAATTTAAAATCGCAATATTTTCAAAATATTTTAATTTGGAAATTATATAAGCAATAAACAAATTTTTGTCACAAAACTTATTCAAATATTAAGATTGAAATGAATTCTTTAGAAATAAACATGTTTAAAAAATACATCATCCTTCGCTACAATATTTTATTGATGGCTATTTGAAAAATGCGATTAACTTTATAATAGATCCAACATTCGTGATTTAATGATAATTTTCATATATCTTATAAGACAAAAAAATCCACATTTGAAGATAATAGTTACAGTGTTAACAAAATGTGGTATATATATATATATATATATATATATAAAATTAAAACTGCCTTCGTATTTAGCACATCTGGTAATCATTGCCACGATAATTGTGTGACTAAACCAAAAGATTTGATCGTAATAGTGTAATTTTGATATGAATAATTTCATTAAGCATCATATTCTGCAAGAATGATGTTTCTTTTCGTAACAACTGTTCGCAGTAACAAACAAAATCACAATTAATTATCTTCAGGCTACTGGTAATATTTTCAACGGTTGAGGCATATGATACCAAAATTTAAGAAAACTTTGTTTTTGAGTATAATTATTAAAAATCGATGATGTATGTTAAATCTTTCATCTTTTTTAGCTGTCTTGTATATCGACATATTATGTTGGTACATTTAACAGGACTTATTAAGCGGCCAGTTTTTTAAAAACCACTTATCAAGTTTTTTAGTATTTTTAGCGAGCCATTTGATATTCTTCGAGACTGTCTCGAGAGTTTGGGCTCGATTAGCAACACCGGCACCAGCTTCAGGATATTTCTCGAAGAAGGCTTTTATCTCATCTAATCTACTTTGTGTAGCGAAGGAACGTGTAATGGATGGTATAAGTCGACCAAGATATGAATCGTTCAGAGTGTATCTATTCACCAAAAATTCCCAGTTCTCGCGTACCCAATTCCACACCAATGATGTACCATCGGGATTCTTAGAAATCATATTCAAGCATCTCAAGAAATCTTGAGTGCGGACATATGCCTCATTAGTTGCTCTGGTAATATACCTAAAAAAGAATAGAAATTATTACTTAATTTTGATTAAGAAATATATTTAAAAAATTGTCAATTTTTGTGTGTGTGTGTGAATTTAATACTGACTTCTTTAGAACTTTAGTGGATTTTATGCCTGATAACCCTATCATTATTTTATTCTTCTCGCTGGGATCGGTCTCGTCTTTAAGTTTTTCAAACATGACGTTCCACTCGTTCTCATCTGAACGATAACGCATACCTAAATGAAAAATTTTGCGTTCTATTAGAACTTCTTGATAATCGCATGATTTTGGGAACAGATGATTACGTTAAATAGACCAACCATAGTAATAAACCAATGCGCGAATATCAGGATGCTGCGGCTTCTCTTCTATCAACCATTCCTTAAAAAGCTCTCCGACTGTTTTCAGGCATTCAGGTGAACCCATTGCACAAGCCAATTCGATTACCGTAGATCGCAGTATTCTGTCCATGTCCGTTAACGGAACATCTTCAGTTGTCTTATTGATCCAAGCTACATTATTCTTGTAGACGGTGTCTACCAACATCAACACGAAAGACTAAAAATGTATCATGTACATGAAAAAATAATATTTATAACGGAATTGAAAAGTAATTTGTATAAACAATGTGATTAATATATTGCCTGAAACTTGTCTGCAATATATGGTTTAGATGAAGAAGTTAATAAAGTATGCATCGTTATCAATTTTGATTTCGCAACCTGCCATGGAAAAGCGTGATTTTCCTTGATAAGATATACACTTATATCCATTACAGTGTTGTATTCGATCTCACCGGCATCAGCTAAACTAAACATGTCGCCCAAAAGATTTGCTCGATCCACTGAGGATATTTTCTGCAATAAAAAAGAAGAATAGGGTGTGTAAATAAATTTTCGAAGAGGTTGTTAATTAGGAAGTGAGAATATAACGCGTATATATTAATTAATCTATAAAGTAATAATTTTTTGTTTATAACTTTTGCATTAATTGGAAAAATTGCATGATTTTACCGTGTGGCAAGAACAAAGCAACTCCTTGAAAGTTTTCCATTCCTTTTTATAATTAACTTGATAAAAGCCAACTTGGCCTGCGTTTAATTTGATCCATTTGGTACGTCTGCAGACCTTAATCACCACTGTAAAATATAAAATTTTACAATAACAAAGAATAAAATAACGTGGAAACAATTCATATAACAAAAAGATTATAATACGAAATCGAACATTTATTCGCATTCCTGTTGAACCATACAAGAGTGGGTTTCTTGTTTCTGTTAGTGATATAAGTGATGGGTATAGTCCATCGATATCTGTAAGATATAACATAATTTGAAATAAATTTGTCAATTAGTAGATAAAGTAACTTGAGATAAAGTAACTCACCTGTAATTGGATTCTGAAGGATCGAATTTGGCATCTGGATCGTCCAAAAATCGTTTCTGGGTTAATACAAATTTATTTTCAAACTTTTTTACGTTAATAACGGGAAAGCCTTCTTGTCGCGTCCAAGTGTCCATTATAGCTGTTACATTTAATTTGTTTCTAACCGCATTTTGCAAAATCTCGAAGAGATCCGCCGTCTCTGCATTCTTATAGGCATACTTATTCAAATAGCTTCTAATTGCATTGAAGAAGACATCAGATCCAAAGAAATTTTCCATCATGCGGATTATAGATGATCCCTAAAATAGACAGCAATTTGAATAAATAAATGAGATAAAAAAATTAGTAAACAGGATTAAAACTGTTATTAAGATATTAGATTCGCATACCTTTTGATAAGATATGTCATCAAAAAATGCTGCAATATCATCTGCATTTTGGACATTATCAATGATAGGATGAGAGCTTAATTTTGAATCGGAAACGAACACATTCTGCATTATCTGTATAGGAAATTCCTCCATCTGAAAATAATATTTATATATTATTGATATATTTTTTATCACATTAAATTTTTATATCAATGTATGATCATATTATTATTGAGAGATGACTAACATATTTCTGATTTGGTTCAATCGCGTCTGCACATTTAAAAGCCATAAATGTAGCCAAACCTTCGTTGAGCCATAAATCGTTCCACCAGTTCATAGTAACTGAAAAAAAGAATATATCTTACGTTTTTATTAATCCATATTTACTTGAGATATGATATATTTACCGAGATTTCCAAACCACATGTGTGCCAGTTCGTGACAGATTACGCTAAATCGCGGGTTTTCTCCGTGTTCAAATCCATTCTTGGAATGCCAACGTTTCGTTGGAGAAAACCCGCGAAACACAAGATTGTCATATGAGATATGATATATTTACCGAGATTTCCAAACCACATGTGTGCCAGTTCGTGACAGATTACGCTAATAACATCGACCTTATCATAAATGGAGTTACTACGATCATCATAAATCAACCTTGTTTCTCTGTAAGTCACCATACCCCAATTTTCCATAGCGCCGGCTCTAAAATCGGGAATCCCAACCATATCTGTATAATAGATAAAGTTTTATATGTACATACGTATACTTAAGAATTTAATTAATCTACCGAGATCTTTAAGCGTATATATAACAAATTTATCTATATTTTAATTAATAAATGTTTTTTGTAATTCATTGTTGCATATTTACCGAGCTTTGGTAATGGATAATCTATTTTGAATAAGTTTATGAAATATTCGATAGCTTTTACGCCAATATCCACTGCAAAATCTCTTTTCTCTTTCGATTGAAGTCTTGTGGTATAAACACTAACCGGAAATTCTCGCCCATTTAAACCCTTTGCCATTTTACATGTGCCAACAAAGTCACTAATAACAAAAGCAACTAGGTACGTGGACATACGTACAGTTTTTGCAAAAGTCATTGTTGCTAGATTACGTTTCGGTGTATGTACCTTCGTATTCTAAAACAAAAAATGACTCGATTCAATAAACTATTCAATTGTTTAATAAATTTTCAGAAGAAATGACAATTAATGCCGCCAAAAATTATTCGCCTACCTTTACATTCATATTGGACAAAGCATGATAGCCATCATCCATGGGATAAACCAGTTTTATCGAAAATTCTGCCTTCAAATGGGGTTCATCGAAACACGGAAAAGCTTGTCTAGCATATGTTGGCTCGAATTGAGTAGTCCCAATGTACCTGTTGATTAAAAAACATACATTATAATTTATTTTACCACATCACGGAATTAAAAACAAATGTAAATTAAATTCATCATAAAATTTGTGCATTATTTATTTATAAAATAATAAATTTATATTACCTGGTTTCATTAATGTTATCACTCGTATATTGATATGTGCTAGAATAAAATCCGTCCATTTTGTCCTTTAGACTTCCATTAAATTCCAGGCTCAAGTGATATAATCCGGATTTAATCTCGTTTTCAGTTAATATCGAAAAGATTTCATATTTATTAGGCTTGCTGATGGAAGAAATATTAATTTCATAGTCTTCATCTAGTCCACATGTTATTAATTTTATAGATGTGATGTTGAGATCCTTTTGATGAAGAGCTATGTATCTATTGTTGTCCTGCTTGACATCAATGAGAATGGTCACCTTTCCGGAAAATGTGCCTTCTTTAAGTTTTGGATGCAAGTAGAGGTCATAATGAATAGGTACGACTTCTTTTGGCAATCTGAAGCTTTTATCGGAATCAAACAAAAACAATATTGTATATGCTTCTGATCTATTCGAATCTGCAAAAAGAATTATTATCTCTAATTTAATAATTATCTATAAATAATTGTTATAAATTGCTCGGATGAATAACGCATCATGTAGAAGGTGTAGTTTTTATCTGATTAATATTATATTTGATTAATTTTATATATATGCTGATGAAATCAATAAAGAAATAAAAGGCTATTATTCCACAATAAATTGAAAGCAAAATTTTATTACCTATTGAATGAATCAAAAAGGAGAATATAAAATATTTTTAGAAAGCGAAGAGTCATTATTAGAGTTCGGTTTAAAACAAAATTTTAAAAATATATATTTTTAAATAAATAAAGTAAAAGTTATTCAGTATTTATTATTTTAAATAACTTCTTCTGATCTATTTCTTATCAAATAAGTTTTAAATCTGATCATTTAAGTTTTCTGAACCTATATTTTATATTTTTTTGTTTTAAATAAGTTATATCAGTTTTTTATCGCTTCCTACAAATTTATATTTTAAATAAGTTTCTGAACTTTATTTTATATTTTTCATTTTAAATAAATCATAACAGTTATTTTACTGAATCCTTATGAATGGTCAGTGAAATAACATTTGTATTAAATTTCAAATATAAAATATTTGTTTAATTTAAATTATTGTAAATTATTAAATTAATTATTGTAAACTAAATTATTGTAAACTAGTTCGCTGTAAAATGTAGTTCATTTTTCATGCACGAATTTTCCCCCGATCAGCTGATCACGAAATCGGAATATGATTTCTATTGAATGTTCGCTTGGAGTCGATTTAAACAGTTCGTAAGTGTTCGAATGTGTTTGCGTGTTTAATTCATACTATACTTCAAGTTTTAAAAATAATTTTTGATATGTTGAAAATAATTTTGTTAAATAATAAGTCTGATAACAATAAAGCTCACTTGTTCTCTTTAATAGAAGAATTGTATCCAGTAATAGATTAAATCTAATCGTTTCTAATGATATTTAATCATAATCTCATATTTCGTTAAAATACAAATAAATTTTTTAATAAATTTTAAAAAATATTGTTTATATGCAACATTAATTAATTAGCTAATTATCAGCAAAACTTAAAAACAATATTCTTAGAAGAGAAAATAGACATAATTTGTTAAATTTTTTTGATTATATTCATTGCAGGAAAATTATTTGGACAAGAATTATTATTATTATTTTAAAAAGTATAAAAAATATTTCGTCGATAGTGGAGTAACTTTTGTTTATTTTTGAAAAAAAAGGCTCCAATACACTAGTCCTAAAATATAGAAAGATGCTATTTCACTATGCCGTACTGAAGAGAACTGCTGGAACATATAAAAAATTTTTAAATCTACCGCCAAGACATCATGAAACTCATATGAGATACCCACGAAGCTTGTCACGTTGCCGGCTGCGTTGACGAAATGCAAACATGTTGAATATTAAATTTTCATTAAACGCGCTAAATGCATCTTGATTTATATTTTGGAAGTGATTTTGTAATTTTTCTTGCGGATTAATCTCTTTTTTTTCAAAAACTTGTGGATCTACAACGTTATAATCAGTAAGTATGACACATTATTAATACAAGAGCAATTTTTGAGAAAGTACTCCACTTCGAGACTGACAACAATTGAATTTTTATGTTCTTACCATGTTGACCGTAGCTTACTGCCTCGACGACAATTTGGTCTAGGAGAACGATTAATGTTGCCAGATAGGTGCAAATTAAACTCAGGATAAAGCAGGCGCTGTAGGATTTGCTACGACAAAGTGACTCCGATTTCGTTGCTAATGCTGCATCGAGGCGAGGTGCGCCGCCTTTCGGTCGGTTTTCGATGTTGCCCATTATTGGGGTGCATACAACGAGGGAAACCGCGTAATTTAATTTACTACCCTCTGTAAGTTCTCAATTACTTTAGGCAAAGCGTAAAGAAGATTATTAAACCTGTAAGGGAAAAAATCGATAAATTGCAAAATCAACGACGCTCGATAATTATTCGAAATATGAAAAATAAATGTAGAGAGCTTTTAGATTTTTAAAATATAAGTCTCTTAAAAATAAACGATAATATGTGTAATTTTTTTTTTTTAATTACAGCTTCGAGACAATATATTTTTAGTTCAGCGATTATTTATTACGGGTTGGGACTACTCCGTATACTTCGTTATTTCTTCAATTTTAAATAAAATCGCATTTGGAATAAGTTCGCTCTATAATAGTAAAAATAACAATACAATTAGTCGATTGAATATTCTTTTGATACGCATAACTGTTAAATATGTACGATTGATCAAAGGTTACTTCAATTTTACATGATATAAACAGCATCTATATCAGTTTAATAAAAAATAAATGCACGACGACACAAACTCTCTCGGTGTGACTTCTCCAAAATTAATTATTAAAGTTAGAAAATGCTCTGCGTCACACTATAGTCGACTATGAAGTAGCGAATAAAGCCTACCTTGGTACACTTGGTACACTCGTTTACGCTTTCTAGGACATGTGACTTTTGTCTTCAGATTACTTCATCGGTACACTGAAAAAAAAGATTGCTTGCTGCAGCAAATTAGATGGTTAAATATGGCATAGCATTTTTAATTGGCTGTAACAACCAATTTTTGATTGCGTTAGCCAATCGAAATCCTATACTAATACAACCAACAATTGTCTGCAGCAACCAAAAATTGTCTGTTGCAATCAGTTAAAAATGCTATGCCATATTTAACCATCTAATTTACTGCAGCAACTAATCTTTTTTTTAGTGCACGATTACTTTATCTGCGCATTCAACTCAGTCACAGTACAAAACCTAATTGTGAGAATATGTAATTGCCGTATTGTTTTTATAATAGTTCTTATTTCTGTATGAAAAATTTCCATTCTACACAAAATTTTCCAATCTATTTGATTAACAACAACCGACTACTTTTGACACTACTTTTGTATCAACTCTCTTATTCGTTGGGATTATTTTTAACAAGGTCGGTCTAATCATAATTTAATGCGATAATACCGCAGAATTTTTAATTAGACTGATGATAACATTATGGGAGATAAGAAACATTCTTTTAGAGAGAAGATAAAAAATACATTTTCATTGATATATATTGTGTTTATGCGCATTTGCATAGATAACGATTTGCATAGGTAACGATTTAATCTTTCTTCTAATTAGCGTATTTTATAATTCAGGAAGTTATTCTACAATTATTTGTATTTTTTTAAAATAATCATAAAAAATGTTCAAAATGATTATAAATCTTATTTGTTCTTTTCAAAAATTATCATCAAAACTATCACTAATTGATGTAGTTTTCCTTTCTTAGAAATAAATCACAACGAAGAAACACAATTTTATTAATCAATAATATTTTTTAGAAGATATTCATTCGCTCTTTACAGTAATTCGATCATAATAATGCGGAGGATCTATTACAGATTTCCTTGAATCATTCTAAACTTGACGATGTTATTATCATATATTCTTGTTTCAGAACAAAAATGCAGGAAAATACTTAGAATCCTACACGGAAAGAAAGGATTGGCTGCTGCAGCAATTTAGATGTGATTACAATGTTATGCCATATTCAGTCAATCTTTTCTTTCAGTGTACATTCTCTCATTTTTCTCTGAAAATTATAGGTATAATCATTTTTCACACATTTATACAGTTTTCATGTATTCGCTTTTCCCGAGCTCTTCCGCTGCATAATAAACTGAAATACGCGGAATAATATGCGAAGTAGATATTATACAAGAAATATGTACACGACAATAAGTACTAAAACACAACGTGAGTAAGACTAAATTAAAAGTCGTACAATAGCGTCTTTTAATTGAAAACTTATTATTCAGTTTCATTTCTCAATCTTCTCTTCACTCTATTATTCGAAGAAACTGCTTGTTTAAATTGGTGGCGATATGCAAAAGAATTTTCTAATAAAATTTGTTCCTAATTGGATGTGACACAATGTCGACGACTTGCATCCAAATTCACGAGTAAAATTAGCTTGAATTAATCATCATGTACGCACGCGTTCATTTATCTGCTGAAATTGATGTAATTAACGGTCACCGGCTACATGGCGAGGTTAATAAATGGAGCGCTCCTACATCGTATTTTCGAAAGTGCAATTAGAAGTGCTTGATTCATTTATATTGTCACGTATAAAATTAAATTATATATAATTAATTTCGTGTGAAATTGAAAATTTGTTTTTTTACAATTTGTTTATAGTTCTACATAGTAATGTTTAATACATTATATATGTTTATATAAATTTTTAATGTCAAAATTCATAATTATTGAAGTTTTTAATTTATACCATTTCAAAAGTAATTTTGTTACGGATTTTAGATGTTAAAACCAAAAGTAGAAACCAATAGGGCGAATGAGATAACAACACAGTTATAAGTACGAAAAATAATAAAGTAAAAAATGTTTACTCCTTTATTCCAAAATTGATGATGTTGTTCGAACAACTTGTACGTTTCGACTCACTTTCGAGTCCTTCTCAGCATTAAAATACAAAATTAGTGTGTGCACATCCTCTACATGTCAAAATTGAGTCACCAACGAATTGCCAGATTTGTGTTGGAAATCTGTTAACAATATATTAAATAGTCAATAATTAATAATAATTAAAATATTAAAATAATTTAAAATAAGAAAGTGACTTACTCTGAAGAAAGAAACTTACTCTGACAAATACAGGAACCCTCTTAAAGCTTTGGATCACAATTGATAAATGTTGAAATTAAACATTATCGCAAACTTAATATAACCAGAAAACATGCTTATAGAAGAGCGTCATGTACATAACTGATAAATTTTCGGATGCATCCTACTGGTCAACAGAGTAAATATTTGAAACAGGAAATGTCAACATAAATAAAACACTTAAAAACGCTTAAGTCAAAATGGTCAAAATATAGAAAAATAATTAAGCGATAAAACCTATTTTACATCCATTAAAAGTAGATAAGTATGATGTAAGCCTTCAATGTCAGAACGTAGATTAAGATCATTTTTGAATATGAATATGAAGAAATTCAGAATTAGCCTTTTGTTTAAAAAACGCTCAATATCAAGTACTTCGACATTTTCCTAATCAAAATCATATTCAGAATTAATTCTATATTCTGTAATCATAGAGTAATTAACGGTGTTCCAATTTATATGATTCCGGTGTTTTCAAATTCTAGTTTTCGATTTCCTTTCAGTTTGACCAACATACGATGCATCAAAATCTTTATATGAAATTACCTCTTTTTTGTGAGAGAAAGGGCCGATCTCACCAACTCCGATTAATCTAATCGGTCGACAACTATGATCGGTCAATTCTGCTGAACAGTAAATGCAATTGGTCAGTTCCAGTGTATCTAACAATCAATCGATTAAGTTAATTGGAATTGGTGAGAACGGCTCAAGGTGTAAAGATAAAATTTATCTTAGTCCTTGTAGAAACTACTGAACACTACTAGTGCGCAATAGTATTTTGAGGCACTACAACATTACTGCATTATTGCATTATTGCACTACTGCAAATTACTGCACTATTGCGCATCACTGCGTCACTACATTACTGCTGTAGTGTAATAATGTAGTAGTACTTCAAAATACTACTGCGTAATAGTACTTTTCTACAAGGGAGTACTTTATTAAAGATTACCCTGCTGAGTTTACTTTCAGTACTATTAATTTATACGTTTGAAATTATTATTTCAAAAATACACACAAAAACAAAACAATTTGTTGATTCAATTTTGACATTCAGAGAATATATACACACTAATTTCGTATTTCACACTGATGAGGACTTAAGAAAGTGAATCAACACGTACAAATTATTTAGATAACATCGTAAGTTTAAATTTGGGATAAAGGAGTTAAAACTTTTTACTTTATTACTTTGTGTACTTATACTTGTGCTACGCTTTCATTCGCCTTGTTGGTTTCTACTTTTGATTTCTGTTTATATAAATTTTAAAGTCACAATGTCTTTAAAATGTTTTAAATTATCTATAAACAAAAAAAAATTAATTTTTATCATAAAACTTATTCGAATATTAAGATTGAATCCAATTATTTAAGGATAAACAAATTTTAAAAATACGAAGATATTATCTGATTTTATTTTTTTAAATAAAACTTATAGAGAAAGAAATTCTATTTTTAATTATATCTTTTAAAAGGTTTTGAGAAAAAAAAATTTGATATATTATATGATTTTTCATGCTTCAGGTAATGTTAATAGTATTAAATATTACGACTATGAGAATAAAATTTTAATGAATACATACTTCAATATTATGTGCGAGTAAAAATATAAAAAGTAATAAAATTTATCACATATTTAACATAGAATTGTTAATATATGAGTCGTAATATTAAAGTTATCACATTACAGATGCATTTCATGTATATAGGTATACATACAACCATAGTTTCAAATGTCATAATTGTAAAGTAATTATGACATAAGATTACAACGAGTGCTCATAAAGTTAATATACTTTACTTTTTTGTCACTTACAAGATTCAAAATTTATATATATATATATATATATATATTATATAATGTTACTTTATAAATTCTTGCGATATATCCTTGTAAGATTGTGAAATATATGGATGACCTGTTACGTATATGTACATCCGGCAAATCTTATTGCAGGGATCATAAAATAGTCACGTCCGACTCTCAGTAAACTGTCAAATGTCTGACCGAAGCTTATGCACACGAGGGAATATATCTTTATCGCGATTTGCAAACACGTAACGCACGATTAAACGATGCCAAGTATGTAACACGGACAGGGCGAAAATCTAGAAACAACAGAAATTTCATAATACAGTGTTACGTAAACTTATGTTGTAAAGGTGCGCCCGTTCTAGGAATATGCGTGATTAAGCAAAGCAATTATTAGCACTTTACGGAGGATACACAATCTGTGCGATCTACGACGAAGGATAAATTGCAATTTCGTCACTCAATACCTCGTGTTTGTGTTGCGCTCCCTGTGAAGTGAAACGCGAGATGGGACATTGACTCTCAAGTAATAGGTAAGTAAATCGCATACGTAAGCGAACCTAATTAATGAGTCTAAGATTGTTATGTCACATTACATCTACGAAATATTGCCATTCTTACATTAATCCATGATGTATTGTAAAGTAATGACAAATACAATATGAAAATAGCATCGATATGGAGTTTGCATCGATAACAATAATTTATTTATATAAATACAGCGTTAATATATACATATATATATTCATATCGATATTGTCTTAACAAAACCTACGTTCGTGTGGAACTAGAACGTAACTACGACCATGATGGAATTCGATTTCACTATGACTACGACGAAGCGTCACTCGTTTTAACGTCTTAAGTTACATATTATTAACCATATTATTTCCCCTACAAACTACACTCTTAAAGCTTATGGCTCCCTGTGCTTAAAAAAAGTGATTCGAGATTATGCTACTTTTTTGAGATTTATGTTTAAAAAAAGTACAAAAAAATCGTAGCCTCTCGCAGGGATTTCGCGCTTGAATTAATTATAATCTACGAATTTTTGTTAAAAGGTCATTTCGGTCGCAGTAGAGATTCTAAACCATCACAATAGAAATATAAATAGATTTGTATGAATAAATATACATATGAGAGCACAAATTAGTACAGTTGTACTGATGGCAAGTACTTTATGCTTATGGTAATACAAATTCGCAAGAAAGTCTTATATTAAAAAATATAATAAAGCAAAGAGCAAAAACAATTATATAAAAATATCAGTATAAGACAGAATAAATTAAAAAATATTTCTACCAAAACCTAAGTCCTTTTATTGCAGTCACAAAATCATGCGAGCCTTTAAATATTTTTTTAATATATTGGAATGACAAAATATCTAGTGGAACGCACTTCAGAATAATCGAAAACGAGCGAATTTATTTCAACAATTTAATAATATACTTTAATAATAAATTTTTAATGAGCTTTAATGCTTAAGTTGTTTGTCTAGAATTTAAACTCATATTAGTTAAAGATATTATTAACATTCTTTAGATATCATATATTTAATAACAAATTTGAAAAAACAAATTTACTAAGTCTTAATATATATTTCTTTGAATAGTACTAAATAAACATTTACTTATATATATTTATAAGTATTTATTCAATAAAAAAAATAATTAAAAATGAGTTAAATCAAATTAATGGTTTTTATATCAAATAAATATATGCTTTTATATTTAATAAATATTTACTTAAAATTATTTAAACAAGTATTTATTTTTAGGTTTCTTTCAATGTAGAAACCTGTTAAATCGTGAAATATACTTTACTATGTTGTTAGGTAAGATATATATTTTATTATTTGAAACATTTGTATTTCTTTTACACTCAAGTTAAATTTGTATATAATGATTTGAATATGTGTGTCCAACCGAATTTGCTCTATCTTTAAAATATCTTATTTATTCCAATTTTGAACATGCGTGTTGTTTAAAGTAATCTTAAATTCTCTTGTGTGTTTCAGTAATTTGACCTATATTTTCGCAGAGTTAATTTAATTAATTTATCTATTTGTATGCAGGATGTTAAATAATAGACGTAATTGGTATAGATAATGTTACTTATTCAATCACCTGCACATATCCTACATACATTATATTTACATTATTGTGAAACGCACACCTTATATAGAATATAAAGATTCACAATATAAATTCAAAAATTTATACGACTGCTCGATCGTTAAAAAAATTTGTTCGTTCGCGATTAGTGTGCGATAATGATTCTTGTGACAGAAACATCATTTAATCGTCCGTTATTTATTACGAGTCGCTATAATAAAATAATAGATTTTAATTATTATCACGCATTGCGTAATTAGCTTTACGCGTTATATATAATGCGTTTTTATAACATTGGTTTTGCGAAATCGCTATTCGAGACTATGCGATCGAACTCGAATTTAATACACAATAATTATTTACGGAAGACAGGCGGAATTCGGATCCATGCCGTGCAACATCGAATCACTTGTTAATTATGTAAGTAATAGTGGTTCGATTGCCATCGGGTCCCTTATGGAGTTATGTCAGAGCTGACAGCCAATCGCTGATTTCTAATCGTATCCGCGTGTAATGCTATTATATAGTTTTGTGCGCAATTTTATGAATATTATTTTATGAATATTGATTTTTGCAATATTTATATCAAAATGTTTATAATCACATAACAACGCATATATATATATGTATATAAAATTTGATGATGATTGTAATAAATAATAAAACAATGTTTCATTGCTTATTACAATCATATAAATTTTAGCTATAAACATTTAACTTGGTTTGTAATTCGTTATTATTTTAATTTGATTTTTAATCTAATTTAGACTTTTTTTAGTAAATTTGTCATTTGTAAGATAATTTCGGATATCTCGTATTTAAAATATGTCTTTTAAGTTACAAAAGATTTATACTTATATTTTTTATTCTCATAATAAACTAGTTTTGGTTCAGTGTCATCACGTACTAACAATAATTAGAACGAGAAATGCGACTGGCGTAATACTCGACAGTGAAAGCGACACAATGCCATGGAGAACCTTTATCGTTGTTATGTCAAGATAAATCGAGAAATATGCTATTTACTTGTGCATATATGAGCTATAGTTTTGTCATCTATGGTCAATAAACATTAAAACTAAATCGCTTTTCATATACGGACCTTCTATCGTCTTAATAATTTTTGCTTTCTACGAAGTGTGACAAATATTAATTTTCGGCTAATAGTGATGGTGTCTAAAAAATTTACTAATTTGATTATTTGATATTATAACAGCGTTAGAAATCGATAATGATTCGCGCTCTATATCGTGTCACAATTATTACGGAATTGACTTCGAGATATTGAAACAGTTTTGATAAATGCGATATAAAGTCTAAATACATAAACAGTCATTCAGAAGGCCACGAATGAATTTGATTCGTAGGTACATAATTGATTGTACAGCACGCCAACATTTTAATTCAGATCATCGTTTGATTATCTCTATATTCGCGAGATCTCCTTTTATTTCCTAACAAGGCCGACCTTTTTTTCTAATAGATTTATTTTGAATGAAAGCGCCTTTCGCAATCAAATTTCTGATTCAAAACGCTTCTGATCGATGGAATCTAATCGGTCCGAGAAATCGCTGTCACGCCTTAAGATTTTCCGTCTCTTCGTTGCAAGGCGATTGAACTCGCGATACTTCAATGACCGATTTGAAGAGAGGAACGATATAATAATGTATGAATAATATTATACAATAAATATTAATTGACGCCATTAAACGATTGATCACTGTTCTTTGGGTGATTATATCCTTATCCGACAATGCACAACGGGGCTTTGTAACGTAGAGCGTGCACGCCCAACGAATATAATATATTCCTTATCAATAATTTTTTTTTATATATGAGTACACACGGTGGCATTTTCTTTTTATATTAATTTTAACGTAATTTTATGAAATTTGTATAAGTATTTTAAAATTTGTGAAAAATGGTGATAATTGCAAAAGGCAAATTGTAAATATCTAGTAATGAGATGAACTTGATATTAAAATTACAAATTGATAAATATTAACTTTAAAAAATATCTCTATTCAGAAGCTAAATAAAAAAACATCGTAATCACAGTCGCGTCCTAGACGCGTCATTCTCGATTGCATGATGCATGATGCATGCACAAGACTGTTAAAAGAAAAAAAAAACAATTATAATTTAACAATCATTACCGTACCATTATTGTTGATGCATCAATTGCTATCGATATTAATAGTCATAAGTACTACCATCTACAAAAAGTCGAGATTACGATATTTAATGATGTATAACAATATATTAAACTTTCAGATATAATCACCAAATTCATTATGAATTTACAATACCATCGTAAACCATAGATGTCTGTTGGATGTTCACGTTCTGCGTAATTCCGATCAGTGTAATGTCACATATAGAGGTTTCGGGGAATTGAAATTTGGGATCTCAATCGCCCTTATTAATGATCTCGGCCTCCTGCATATCTTCGATTGCCATATCGGCATCGCCCCATCCCCATATAGCTCCCTCATGCGAATGATGCTCATCATGATCGTCCGTTCGTGCATATATCGAGCCGTCACCCGTTCGGGCTGCGCGTTTCTTTATCATACTGTGTGCTACAGTCTTCAAATCATACGCCCAGCCGATCCGAGCGAAGAAATCAATGAAAGCAGTAGTAAAGTTTGTGCGATAGTTGCCCAATTCGGCAGCCTTGTAATCCCACGGAAACACGTGATGGTAATTGTGCCACCCTTCGCCGAAAGCGCCAATGCCAACGCTGAGGCTGTCAGTGGGGCTAATGGCGCTGCGAAAAAGATAACATTTTTTTTTTATCGATTTCCATTCACATAGCTTTATAATTCGTACAATAGGATAAATGATAAAGACGGATCTTGGTCTGTCTCTCTTTCTAGTGCTATTTAAACTTCTAATCCATTACACTTTATACTGCTCAAGTCAACTGAAAATACAATGCGCTACTATTTTTCACATTTCTTACTACTTTACGTTGCATGTTTTGCTTTGCTATATATTATTATGTTTAATATGCGCGTGTTGTAGTATTGTAGTATTGTAATATTAAAATAATACTTATCCTAATCACGTTTTATCGACAATTGTCGCTATCGTTAACTAGCGACAGCCCATAAGAGCTGCTCTTTCTTCCAGGATTGTACTGCCATTGGATGTCACTATAGTTAACGATAGCGACAATCATCGATAAGACGTTTAGAGAATTCCGCTACTGAGAGAGATGTTTCGTTACATCAACTATTAAGCTGTAGTTTCACTTTTGCGTGCCTTGATTTACTATTTCTCTATCTAATCTCCTTGTGCTTCACGGTACATGTAATGCTTTCTGTGTAATGCTTTTTTAAATTTAATTGTAATCATTACACACAATAAAATAAATAAATCTTTGGTGATACTAACTTGTCA